GAGGCTGTGTAAATGCCTGTGTAAAGGCCATGACTGTGTATAGCCCACACCTGAGAGGCTGTGTAAATGCCTGTGTAAAGGCCATGACTGTGTATAGCCCACACCTGAGAGGCTGTGTAAGCTGGTATAGACTGAATGTCTGAACAAACAAAAGAATATGATCGCAATAGCAGGAGGGCATCAAATGGAGTTAATGAAAGCAAGGAGTAAGATCATCACCGTCAACTGTCACAGTCACTGCTGGCTTCTTTCCCATTTACAAACAAGGCCTCGACACTGACGACAAATAAAGGTCAGTTTATTAAAAAAGAAAATCCAAAGTCTGTACATTTTGATCAGAGGGGAAAAAAAGACCTGAGTGACTGTTAGGCGGTGATCTTCAAAAGGCATCACATAACTCAGAAATAACGTAGTCAATCATAGTCAGTAATCTAATTACTGACTTTGTCTAAGTTGACTTAAAATGTGGCTTTCAGAGATCAAAACAGCTAATTTAAACACCTATTCAAACCAGAATTAAAATGCTGGAGGACATTATCTCAGTGCCGGAAACACTTGATACTAAATGGATAATTTACATACAATTATTAGTCAATTTCTGATATTTTTAAAGTTACTTCAGACAAATAACCAACTTATCACACCCAGAAGTGGTTTACTTTAAATCCCAGGAAGACTTTTGGTGAAACCATTTAGCACAGCTGAAATCAGTCAAAATCTACAAGACAGATAAGATTTGTGATTTTTGTTACTCAGAACTCCCTTGCCAAGCAAAAATGAAACCATTTTAATAGACGGGTAAACTCTTGGGGGAGGCTAAAAATGAAACTGCGTGTCATTTTAAAGGATGAAAATGTATAATAACAGAAACCATGCGTCCCATCTGAGTAGGTCACCCTGCCTGGGCACATCGTTAGGGTGTGAGTCAAAGGACCACAGCACACTGAAATTCACGCTCCTTGGAGACACAATCACAGCCACTTTGAGGCTATAGGCTGGACGACTGCGTACGACGTAGAACGGGGAGCTTTGCGTAAGCAGCTCACCGCAGACATGATTGTGAAAGGTTCCTTAATCATAATATTCAGCCGTACTAAATGAAAACTTATCAAAAAATGTCTAACTGCAGTCGTCTAATGACTTTTCCATGCCCACGCTCACGGTGGGTACCACTTTGAGTAGCTTGGTGCTGTGTCGCAGTAGACACACCAACCAAGCGATGATGGACACTAGAGAATGGCCAAAATTCACACACGGGGGCAGGCATTTCATTACTTTAAATGCTTACCTTAATCAGGTATGATATTTCCTTCGGTCACCTTTATCCAGAATGTATCACATATTACAAGAAACAGGTATGTTAAAACCTGCCTAAGCTTTAATTCATTATCGTTAATTAAAGACGTTTTAAAAGCTAAATTCTAAAAACTATAGAAAAGACAGACATTCTACAAACACATGAAACAAGCAATTATCATGGGAAATGTAAACCATTACAGCTATAAAAAAAAAGTTCAGAAGAATGTGCTTCAATTATTTTAATATCTAAGTGATTTCTTAATTATCGTCGTTCACCAATTTATAAGGTTTAGAAGAAAGCAAATAAAGAGACTTTCATACAATTACAGCGAGTAAACTGACAATTTAACGGAAGAAAATGTTTTGTTCTGGATACGGTTAAGTTTGTACACGCCCTTCAGAGTCAGAGAAATGTTCGCATGTCACTGGCCAGTGACGAAATGACCAGTCAGTCTCGTCACAGTGTGGACCTCACAAAGGTCAACCTGCCTGAATATGTACGTGCTCAGTGACAAGTCACCTCGGTTTGTCACTGAAGAACATGCCAGGCATCACGTGGACCTGTGACCTTTGAGTTACTCAGGTTTACACTGGTTAATGTTTAGCCAAACCACAGAGGAGCTGCAGTTTCTAGGACTATGATGCGAAAAGATGCGTCACCACTCAGGATTAAGGACACACTACGATATCACCCGTTTAACCACGTGCCACTGAAAAAGTAAGCTGCCCATGATGTCATGACATCTACCCAATATTTTTCATAAGAATCAAACAGAACCAATGGCTTATTGGAAAACCACAAACAGCAAAACAATAAATGACCAACCAAACAACAAACATGTCACGTAACTAGGTTTCTATCAGTAGGTGTTAGCAGATACATACTGATAATTGTCCCAGGTTAGGTTTAATAAGTCTGAATGTTATTTTTTTATATCAAATATAGGTTAAAATATTTTAAGTGCTTATCTGTAATGGTTTCTGACACGCGGTTGTTAGGGTACCCCCCCCCCCCCCCCCGACCTGATGAGTGGGGGCCTCATTTGCATTTCCACAGTGGGTTTCTGCCATCGATTGTGGGATTTCACTGAAATCTCCCAAAAAAAGCTTTGTTTTCATGCTTAATTTTGCTACCGAGTTTAGTGGATTTTTGTGGGCTTCTATGAGAACAAGGGTGAAATTGCACAATATTTTAGCTGAGGGACAGGCCTATTGCAAAATCATTGCATTTCGAAGGAAAGGTGTTTTTCGAAAGACTTAGTAACAAGACATAGGTAAAGAGTAAGAAATATTTATTATTGTAAACAAATATTTAAATGTGACACTCCTGGAGAGAGAAATGGTCCGTGAACATGAAGCATTTTGGGCCGGTTTTTACACTTCTGTCCATTTGATGCGTTCCGGCCGGTTCCTACTATCAGGCTCGATCTCTTAGAGTCTCAGCCATCGGAAGCTAAAATCAACCAGGTGCCCTGAAGCACCATGGAAAAAACCTACACTGTGATTAAAGAAACAACCTCATTAGCATACAATGATACCACTTTCATACAGGAGTATTTTATCATCTCCATTTATAAAAGGAAAATGTTTGGAACTTTCTCAACAGTTTAGTTTAGAACTTTCCAGGCAAAACTGAAACTGCTTATTGATTAGCAGGTGACCAAAAAGCCTTGGCAAACATGCTACTGGGCGGAGACAAACTACTCTATTTTAACGTCAGAAGTGAAACCACACCTACAGTCACTAAGGAAAGACTCATGCAGTTTTGCCGTCCAATCATAATTGGACATCTGAAAACAATACTATGACTGTACTGAGAAGTGACAATGTCATGAGTTTGCCCTGTCATATGTGTTTAAACAATGACTAATCAATGAGACAAACTAACAGAAAACGGGGATAATGACAACGCATAGCTGAGCACAAATTAATCTGTGAATAATCAATGCCTCTGCCAGTTGTGAAATCTTGATGTAGACACCAAACTGAAAGCATATATCCAGAAGGTGAGACCAAAAAAGTAATAAAGGACACTGACCAAAACATTTGAATCCGATATGTGACTCTCCTTGTCTTTGTGGCAGACCATAATACTCACTGAAAGCTCCCGTGTACGTTGGTTGTGTCAGGTCTTTGGGCACTTTTCTGTAGATATCAAGTCTGGAGGAAAGAAAGAAAGAGGAAGAGAAAGAGAAAAAAAAAAGAAGTAAACAAGGATGGTCATGGGGACCCGACGCCACATAAAGGACACACTGTTCCCAGAATTCCAAGGGGCATTACCACAATGCAGTGGAATGTTTGCTCTGGCATACAGCCACCAACAACAGGCTGTAATGCAGTGGAGAGCACTGGACTGCTTTAACTTAAACACACAGTGAACCTCCTGCCTTCAGGCATCACAAAGAGAATCCTTCAGACAACCCCAGCATAGCAGAATATAGCCCATAACCTATAGAATGTAACCAGGCTTGCCTTATATATCCTTCCATATGAGGCTGTGCTACTCATACCCGCCAGGCTCAAGTGATTCTGGAACAAAACACATAATGAGGGCTGGTCTGTTTTCCCTGGAGCTGTGAAAGGCGGAAAGGTAAATGGGGGCGGGGTGTTTGTTTTGACTCAACACATTGGCAAGAATGTGCCAGCACCAAAAAATCATGGCTCAGATGACTGAGGCGAAATTCAGCAATAGTACAGATTCTACACCTTGAGGTGATGGACAGACTGTTTGTGTTTTCATCCAGACCAAGTCAAAACTCTCTCGAACGATGCACTTCCTGTTTGACCAACATCCATCCCATTCTAAAATCAAGGAAGGGTCGTTAACGATAAGTGAATTCACGTGATTATTTGTCTTGCTTTATTTCACACTGCCAGTTGGATTCCTCACACTTCCTGCTTGACCAAAGAAGGAAGTCAAATTCCAAAATATAACCACTCACTTTTAAGAAAATTGATACCACCTATAAAAGTGGCAAAGTGCCATGCGGCAAGTGCTGCGTTTGATCCCCCAGTGGCCGTTTTGTGCTGTGCCCTTTTTTGGCGTTGCGTACTTTCGGTAAGACA